GAGTTGTTTTGATTTTTATCAGTAAATATTGTGACTCTGGGTTAACCCTAAAGGTTGGCCACCAGCACAAAGCACAGGCATTAGATATAATGTTGATGATTCAAATTGTCTGTTGGTAAAGAATATTGTGTTCTACTTAACCCAAAAGGTTATAATTTACAAACTGCAATTCAATTAAAAGTATAAACTAAGGTTTCAGTAAATCCATTTTATATACAAGTTTATGAAAGTTGATTTTTAGCTCTAGCTAATTTTCTTTCCATCTGACTGCTGTCCTTTTGGCTTTGTAGGTTTGAAAGTATGTCATTGCAAATATGGCTGCCTGAAGAAATACATTTTTGAATAAATGGCAAATCTAAATTGCCACTCCAAGGCAAACTGTGTGTTGATACATAAACAGGGTAAAATACGCAGATTTAATAGTGAACTCAGTGTTTCTTCAGAATTAACAACACTCAGATTTAACAATGCCTGCAATTTTTCTCAGAAAAAGGCCTGAAATTATGTAATAAATAAAACCCCATGAACAAAGGACAGTAGGATCCATCTGGGCAGATTAGCTAAAATGAACAGGATGATCTTTGTTGTTGATATCTGTCTTGTGACCTTGAAAAATTATGGAATAATCATATTAATGGTGGTCACTGGATCTGACAGTCACTTGCTTTCATTTAAATTTTTTGGTGTATTTCATATTAATCAATAAATACAGCTGCCAATATATTTGACCAGTATCTTAAGTAGGGTTTCTGCCGGTTAACAGAATCTTCTACATGCTCCTTTTCAATCCAGTGATAAAGTTGCCATAGTCCTACTGGACTATAGGGCCGCTCTCTTATTATAGAGGGACAACTGGTGATGGTTTAGATATTTTCTAATTTGCTGTGACATACCTCTGAAGCAGGTGGAACTTGACCCTCCTGGTCCAGAGGAAGGACACTGCCACTGCACCCTAAAAGCCCTATCAACCTAAGGGTCACTAGGTGAGGTTAAGAAGGACAGTCATTCATGGTGACATGAAACAAAGAACTGCAGATGCTGGAAAACTGAAGCAAAATTGATGCCAACAGCACTGGGTCGATTCTTGTACTGTCTGAAGTTACCATGAAGGACAATCAGAAACTGCTGGAGGACCTGAACATATCTGGCAATATCTGTGGAGAGAAAGCAAGCAAAGAAAGTCAGCATTTGGAGAAGCCTTACCTTTGAGAATGCCAGCAATTTCTGTTTTCATAGTAACTTCAAATATTACAGGAACTGAACCAGTGCTGTTGGCTTCACTCATCAGCTGTCAAGCCAACTGAGCCAAGCCTAACCCTATCCCCTGCAGTTGAGTGTGACCCATCGCTGACAGTAACACAAACACAGAAATTGCTGTAGAAATGCAGTGTATGTGGCAGCATCTGTGACAAGAAAGCAGAATTAACATTTTGAGTCCGGTGACTCTTTAGAACTGTTGGCAAATAGGAAAAAGTGCCATTTATGCTGAAGCCAAAGTTGATTTGGGGGGTTGGAGAGGTGACTGGATAGGTGGAAATGGAAGCCAAAGACAGAGAGATATGAAAGGGGTAGGTAAACATGGAGATTACGGACAGCAGGCCAGCATAGAGGAAAGGCTGAATAAGTGAGAGCTAAGAGATGGATGAGCTGTACCGAATGCAATGTATATAATGTGATAATTGGTCTCAGAGTAGATGAGAATGCATGACTGTGTTAAGAGCAACCCATGTCATTACAGGACAGGGTGTGGGCTGGGTAAACATGGAATCAGTCTCTAAAGTTATTGAACTGGATGTGGAGGCCTATAGGCTGCAAGGCCCCCAAGTGGATGTTATTCTTCAAGCTTGCACTGAGGCTGGCTGAAACACTGCAGCAGGCCTGAGACAGAAATGGTGGCATGGGAACACAATGGTGTATTGAAGCGGCAGGCAACTGGAAGCTCAGGGTCATTTTTACACATGGAATGTAGGCATTCTGCACAGTTGCCCAGTACACACGGCACAGTGGATTGGTGGTTAGCCTCACAGTGCCACCGACCAGGGTTCGATTCCAGCCTTGGGCGACTGTCTGTATGGATTTTGCGCATTCACCCCGAGATTCCTCTGGGTGCTCCGGTTTCTTCTCACACCCCAGAGGTGTGCAGGTTAGGTGGACTGGCCATGCTAAACTGCAAATAAGTGAGTTAGCCATGGGAAATGCAAGAATAGGGTGGTAGTGAGCCGGGTGGGGGGAGGTGCGTTCGGGTCAATGCGGATTTGATGGGCTTAATCTCCTGCTTCCACACTGTTGGGATTCAATCTCCCCAGTGTACAGGAGACCACACTGTACGCAGTTAACACAGTCGACTCGAAACGCAGGTAAGTGTCTGCTTCACCCCGAAGGTGTGCACCTGGGGACCTTGGATCATAAGAAGGAAATAAACGAGCGGCTGTTGCACCTTCTGCGATTGCAAGGAAGGTGCGGTGGGGGAGTGGAGTTGCAGGAGTAGACAGCAGTGATAACGCGCCAGTTATTTTCCACAGAGATAGTAGGAACTGCAGATGCTGGAGAATCCGAGACAACAAGGTGCAGGGCTGGATGAACACAGCAGGCCAAGCAGCATCATAGGAGCAGAGAGGCTGATGTTTCGGGCCTAGACCCTCCACAACCTCATCACCTCAGGTGATCTCCCACCCACGGCCTCCAACCTCATCGTTCCCCAACCTCGCACTGCCCGCTTCTATCTCCTTCCCAAAATCCACAAACCTGAATGCCCTGGTCGACCCATTGTCTCTGCCTGCTCCTGCCCCACCGAACTGATCTCCAACTATCTGGACTCCATTTTCTCCCCCTTGGTCCAGGAACTCCCTACCTATGTCCGTGACACTACCCACGCCCTCCACCTCCTCCAGAACTTCCAATTCCCCGGTCCCCAACACCTCATCTTTACCATGGACGTCCAGTCCCTCTACACCTGCATTCCCCATGCAGATGGCCTTAAGGCCCTCCGCTTCTTCCTGTCCCGTAGGCCCGACCAGTCCCCCTCCACTGACACCCTCATCCACTTAGCCGAACTCGTCCTCACGCTCAACAACTTCTCTTTCAATTCCTCCCACTTCCTACAGACAAAGGGGGTAGCCATGGGTACCCGCATGGGCCCAAGCTATGCCTGCCTCTTTGGAGGTTACGTGGAACAATCCCTCTTCCGTACCTACACCGGCCCTAAACCCCACCTCTTCCTCACTTTTCTGATGAAGGGTCGAGGCCCGAAACGTCAGCCTCTGCGGAAAAGTGTGAGGTGATTCACTTTGGAAGGAGTAACGGGAATACAGAGTACTGGGCTAATGGTAAGATTCTTGGTAGTGTGGATGAGCAGAAAGATCTCGGTGTCCATGTGCATAGATCACTGAAAGTTGCCACCCAGGTTGATAGCGTTGTTAAGAAGGCGTACAGTATGTTAGGTTTTATTGGTAGAGGGATTGAGTTTCGGAGCCATGAGGTCATGTTGCAGCTGTACAAAACTCTGGTGCGGCCGCACTTGGAGTATTGCGTACAGTTCTGGTCACCGCATTATAGGAAGGATGTGGAAGCATTGGAAAGGGTGCAGAGGAGATTTACCAGGATGTTGCCTGGTATGGAGGGAAGGTCTTATGAGGAAAGGCTGAGGGTCTTGAGGCTGTTTTTGTTAGAGAGAAGGTTAAGAGGTGACTTGATAGAGACATACAAGATGATCAGAGGATTAGATAGGGTGGACAGTGGGAGCCTTTTTCCTCGGATGGTGATGGCTAGCATGAGGGGACATAGCTTTAATTTGAGGGGTGATAGATATAGGACAGATGTCAGAGGTAGGTTCTTTACTCAGAGAGTAGTAAGGGTGTGGAATGCCCTGCCTGCAAAAATAGTAGACTCACCCACTTTAAGGGCATTTAAATGGTCATTGGATAAACATATGAATGATAATGGGAGATAGTAGGAACTGCAGATGCTGGAGAATCCGAGACAACAAGGTGCAGGGCTGGATGAACAAAGCAGGCCAAGCAGCATCATAGGAGCAGAGAGGCTGACGTTTCGGGTCTAGACCCTTCATCAGAAAAGGGGGAGGGGAAGGGGGTTCTGAAAATAAATAGGGAGAGAGTGGGAGGCGGATAGAAGAGGGATAGA